AAAAAAAAAAAAAAAAAAGGTAATACACCCCACACGAAATATTTAGAACAGAGCCTCACATGTGGTAATAAATCAGTATGAATGACATTATTAACTATGATAATATCTGCAACCTGCAACTGGAAACCACTGTAATAGAGAAAATTACACGAAGAAAGTGAAATTGCCAGCCAGATTAAAACTTACTATTTTGTTCAATAGAAATCTCAGTATCTTCTCATAGGAGGGGGCAGCTATGTAAGTTTCCCGAAAGGGGGAACCAGATCTTTGGGCTCTGTGAGGAGCAGACATGCACTCTACTGGTAGGCACGCTATGATAAGTGGCGAAGAAAGATGCAGATTGAATTATGTGGAGTTCAGAGACAAAGATCAATTCTGGAGGACTTCCTGTAGGAAAACTTTGTCTAATCCAGGAAGAAGAACCAGAAAAATAAAAGGAGAATTGTGGATGGTGGCTACTCCACAGGGTAGGCCAAGACCAGTAATGAGAAATAAATTTTTAGTGGTGGAGACTTTGAGGCCAGCTTATTTAGACTCTTGAATGCCAAAGGGGAGGGGATAGGTTTTATGCTATAAACAGTGTAGGAGAAAAGATACAAGCGGGTGGATTATAGAAGAGGGAGCACTAAATCTAATATATGCTGGGATGCTAATAATGATTAATAATCAGAGAAAGGCAAATTAAACAATGAGGTGTCACTTTATACTGGATAGTTCAGCAAATAGTGGAAAGTTGAATGCTGCTAAGGATTGGCTGGGATGGAGGCCTTAGATGCTTGGTGCCCTGCTGGGGGCAGCCATAGATCATAAGAACCAGCAATTCTTGGATATTTATCCAAAAGAAATTCTCACAAAGGTCTATGAGAGAACATGACAAGAATGATGGGACATTGTAAACAATGTGGACATTCTTCACTGGGAGAGTGGGTAAAATGTGACACGTTCCATGGAGTATTCTGCAGCAATAAGAGATTAAATGGACACCTTTCTTAGTCTATTTGGGCTGCTATAACAAAACACCTTAGACTGGGTAGTTTATAAACAACAGAAATTTATTGTTCACAGTTCTGGAGACTAGAAAGTCCAAGATCAAGGTACCAGTAGATTCAGTGTCTGGTGAGGACTTGTTCCTCACATATGGTACCTTCTATGTGTCTTCACGTGGTAGAAGGTATCCCTTGCACCTCTTTTAGAAGGGCACTAGTCCCATTCATCAAAGATTATTTGTGATTTGCAGATTTTAGACAAATATTTTGGTAAAATTCAGGAGCATCACGGTGTATCAGGGAATGCCAACTTATTTAAACTGCATAAACATCAGTTTCTTCCTTTATAAAATGGAGATAATATTCAACTTTTGATATTTTCTAAGGATTTGAATATTCTTAAGTAATACATTTAACGCATTATAACAGTCAAGTCAGCTGGAGGAGTCTTCTGATTCTTTATATTGACTTTACATTTTTCTGGTCTAATCCTGAAAAATCTGGCCCTGCCAACCTGTTTATACCTCATTTTTATCCACTCTCTCCCTTGCTCTATAAATTCTAGCTATGGAGAATCCCTCCCACTCCCAGTGATTATAGAGCATACAAGAACTAGATTGGAGCTGGGCGCGGTGGCTCACGCCTGTAATCCTAGCACTCTGGGAGGCCAAGGTGGGTGGATTGCTCAAGGTCAGGAGTTCGAGACCAGCCTGAGCAAGAGCGAGACCCCATCTCTACTAAAAGATAGAAAGAAATGATCTGGACAACTAA